CTGAGCCTGAGCTTTGGCTTGGGTTGCTCTGGGGCTGGGGTGAGAAAGTTCCTCATGTTCAGATGACCAAGAACAGTAACAACCATGGCACCCTCTCACCTCCCACCCCCATGTCTGAAGCTATGGGCCAGGGTGCAGCAGTGCACACCGCCTCTGAGACCTGCCGTCTGCATGGTGAGAGGCACCGAGGCTCCGAAGTCAAGACTCGTCTGGCCCTGCCTCTCAGTAGCCCGGGACCATGCAGATGTTCTCAGACTAACCTGAAAGAAAACATCTCTCTTCTCCTATAGCTCTAGTGTCCTGGCTTTGAGATCTCCACAGACCCCTCTCTCTTGAAAAGTGGAAAGCTTGCTTGTGTTCTAGATTACAAGTGTTCTGACTTCCATGAGTCTTCACCCCCCCCCCCTTCTAGGCATCAATGACTTCAAAATAACTACACAACTAACTGATTAAAAAAAAAATCCAGTTTGGCTCATGCTTCATCGGGAATTGAGGCTTTAAGAGGTGAGAATCTGGTGGAACAAACTGGGCTCAATAAAGCACCTGAGTGGTGCGGGGAGTGGGGAGGGAGAGCCCGTGACTCCACTTCTCTCTCTCCCCGGGACAAAGGGCAGAGGGTGGGTGGGAGAAGCCATGATGGAGAGGCAAAACCAGGAGAGAGGTGGTTCGAAGACAGTGACCTCTAGAATGACTTGCTATCATGTGGCTGATTCATTGAGAGAAATGTGATTGACACAGCCAGGCCACTGGGCTGAGTGACTGGTTCTTTCGCTTGGCGGTGTTTCTCACTCGCCCCCTTTGTGTCTCAGCCACACACACACACACACACACACACACACACACACACACACACACACACACACGGCACTCACCTGTCTTATCGTACGGATGTTTCTTCCTCCACCACAGCACTCTGTCTGTCCAGGCTGGGGTACGGCACTTGTCGCTTGTATCGTAGGCAGCTGATCCAACATCATACTTGTAGGTGGGCCCAAAGTTAATGGTTCCTTCATGAAAGTCTTTAAAAATCTGTTCGGAGAAAGAAATCACAAGGCTATCATCAGGAAAAAAAAAAAAAGGTACATTCCAAAGTGTTCTAAAAAGTAGTAGCATCTATATTTGTAAATATGTCTAATGTTCGACATATATGCCTTTTAATAGCTGGACACACACACACACACACACACACACACACACACACACACACACACCATCATAGTACCTCGCTCTCCCTCCTGAATCCCTGCCAGTCACCTTTGTCACCCTTGGAGACTGAGAAAGGACCACAGGACAGGGATTACCATGTGCTCATTTGGACATTCCAGCGCCTGTATACAATGCATTTAGGGCTGGAGCAAAAGCCCCCTCACTTGATGGAGCAGAGAAGGCAGTGAGAATTAGGTGGAGGCAGAAAAAAAGATTTGTAGGGTGATAGGGCTCATCTGCATACTTCGCATGTAGGCAGAGCAAACTTCAAAATGGTGTCTGGGTCCCCTGGTTTTGGAGGGAGAGACCTCTATTCCTCTTTCCTTGTGCATCTAAGCACTGCATTCTCGAAGGCAATGGCATGCTTGCGTACTTGTTGCTAGGGCAGCAGGACATGGAAATAAGCCATGGTCTTAACTGGAGTAGATCTGCTGTGGAGGCCCGGATGCTGGCTGCTCTGACCCTCAAGAACTGAAGTCCGTAGCCCAGTGGCTCTCACCCTTTCTAAACGCTGTGACCCTTCAATCCAGTTCCTCATGTTGTGGGGACCCCCAACCATACAAGCACTTTGTTGCTACTTCATAACTGTAATTTTGTTACTGTTACGAATCCTAATGTAAATATCTGATATGTGACCCTTGGGGGGTCTTGACCCAGAGGTTGAGACTCACTGCTGTACCCAAACCTGTGCCATTTTATGCCATGGCCTTTGGAGACCTTAGAAACCCGGGCCATGAAATAGCACACGTGCACTCTGTGAGGGGACAATTTTGGAGCGAATGGCGGCCTGGGGTGCTGTCTACCCAATGCATAATTCAACCTACCTCTCCGTTTTGCCAATAAAATGAGTCTAATTTGTAGGCTACTCTGGAGGAGTCTATGTACAAATGGGTGTGTACATGATTCTGTTGGTGTTCTCACCAAAAAGAAAGGGACAGCACCAAAATATTATGAACAGAGTCCAAAGTGTCACCCGTCGCTTCTGATACCAGAAGCAAAGCGGTCCCTAAAAAGACCACATGTGCCATAGATAGGTAAGTGCATTTGGTCCAAGCAGACCATGCACCCCAGTATTCAACACTTTCAACACAGTGGTCCGTCTAATGTTGGGGGGGCGGGGGAGACAAGAGAAGGCAATCATGACTCGGGCTCAGCACAGACCCTCTCTGGGGAGCCTCAGAGGAGCTGACTCCATTTGTCTGAAAGCATCCGACCCAGTGCGTTAGAGGTGGTGGAAAGCCAGTTAAGTACCCTCACTCACTGTGCTGAATGTTGTCGGCGGCTTTCCCTCAGGGATTTCCCTCAGAGATAGCCGCCACTCAGCCTTAGAGGGACACAGGGATCCTGAGTGTGGCCAGCCAGAGCCTAGTTAAGTTCAGCAGTCTGTGAGACTACACCGCCCCGCTTTTCTCACTGCATAAACACCGTGTGTTTTCTATACCATCAGGGTCAGTGTTCAAGCCACTCACAGTTCTATCATACAAGTGCCTGCATTTGGGAGACAGCACTCCACACCAGTTACCAGAAATATCTTCCGGCTACAACTTACCTTCCCACTTGACTTCTGTAGCTGTAACTGGTCAAATTCCATAAGTTTCTTCCAGTCCTGACGTTTAACAAAATAGAAGACTTCTTCGTAGGTAAGATCGATGCGGTAGTTGAAATCGCCACACCAAAACACATAATCATGTGAAAAGACGTTTCTCCCCTAAGTTATAAAGAACATCACCAGGTGTGAGGGGGGTGGGGGAGAGAAGAGGAACAAGCCTTGGGGGCATTTCTCCTAAATTGTTTTCCATTAAAGTGTCTCATGTTTACCTAGCCCTATAAACCTTCCAAGAAACCCTTACATAATTTGCTTCTCTATTTTATTGCATTATTTTCTGAGATAGGGCTCCATGTAGCCCAGGACCATGTAGCAGTGATAACAGGCATGCACCTCCTCACCCAGGTGTATGCAGTGCTGCATGAACATGAGCCGTGGCCTCAGTCCTGCTTTTCTATGTTATGTAACAGTATTCTTGAGTGGTCCAGACAAAGCCTCAAAACCACTTGAAAAGCACTATACCAATAACCACTCTGTCATTGTGTCTGTTAGGCTTGTTCTGTCTGAATCTTGAGAGGTGTTTCCCAAACGCTCAGCGTGAGGGAAGCAGCGAGCGGCCCTGTAAACTCCATCACTCTCCTCCTGCCCATCTTGCCCAGCAGGAGCCAATCATCTCCAGCCAGTCCTCCAAGAGCTCCTCCCTAGCACAATGACAGCGGCAGTGACATAAGGACTGTCTCTAAGTGTAGGGCTCCAAGTGAATCCTGTGCTTACAGAATCTACGCAGCAGACACCAAGGTGACCCCTCCCTCTGTGTATGTGTGGTGTCATTCACCGAAGGCCACAAGGCTAGTACGTGATAAAGTTGAAATGTGAACCCAGATCTACCTGGCTCTAAACCTAGCTTTCCCCTCTACTAGGGTATTCAAATTTCTCCACTCACAAGGATGGTGCAGACAGATTTAAGATGGCCCTAACCAAGCCACACATTTTTCTGTGGTAGTGAAAATGCCTTCCATACTGCGGAGTGAGGGAGCCACTGGCCAGAGGCCAGTACATGACAAGTACTTTGAACATGACCAATTGAGGTGGCTTGAATAAGAATGGTCCCCATAGGCTCCTGTAATTGAATGCCTGGGGAGTTGCACTATTTGGAGAGATTAGGAGGTGTGGCCTCGTTGGGGGTAGGTGTGTCACTCGGGGTGGGCCTTGAGCTTTCAGGCCAGGCCCAGCGTCTCTCTCTGCTGCCTGTGGATCTGGATGGAGAACTCTCAGGAGCCTCTCCAGCACCACGCCTGCCTGCAGGCTGACATACTCCCTGCCATGCTGATAATAGACTAAACCTCTGAAACTGCGAGCCAGCCCCAAGTAAACACTTTCTTTTAAGAGTTGCTGAGACCATGGCGTCTCTTCACAGCAACAGAACACTGACTAAGGCACCAGTGTAAGTGATTTTAAAATTTTTAAGTAGCTACCTGTGGTCAGCGGCTACTGTAATCCACACAACTGGTACAGAGAACTAATTTATAAGGTCGCTCAACTTTCCTTTCTACAGAAGAAAAAGGGCCATCTAGTAAAAAGTTTCAATTACTGGAATGTATCCTGAGTACACTGTTTCAAAGTTCTCATTTTCAAGTAAGAAAGAGTGGACTACATACAAATCGAAATTTCCCAACTTGTTTGTTCTTTAACTCAAGAAATAAAAACAACAGCAAGGATTCAGATACTTATAATTGAAACCAGATGAACTTTGGCTCTGCAGCCGAATCTTTGGGAATGCCAAGGCTTAAAAGCCTTAAAGGCTCCATGCTCCTGTCCAACAGGAGAATTCCAGGATCCACCCAGCCTGTTCAAAGCTGGAGGGACCCTGTAGCAAGGACAGCTGACCCATACTTCTCTGTCTAGCCAGTGGGGCCCACGCATCAGGCTGAGGTGTTGGGGGGTCATCTTTGTACCAGAAGGAGAACACTAAATTTGAAAATAAAGCCCATGGGCTTCAGCATGGAAATCTCTAGGTTGTCACTAGGGGGCAGTGTGGCGCATTCCTGGAGGCCTCAGGGTAGATGGGTTGGGGAACTTCGGCTTTTCAGTCAGGATTTGCTAGTTTGGAAGCGGGAGTTCCTGGCTGACCAGCAACAGAGATAGATATGTGTGTGTGCGCACGCATCAGAAGCAAACAGAATCCACACTACCACCACCACCACGAGAAGGAAATCATACTTGAATTCAAATGTTCTTCCCATGACCACACTGATTCTCTTCCACCATCTGAATTGAAACACCCACAAAGTGCACCCCCCCCCCAAAAAAAAAAGCTAGGTTACCCAAGGACTTCCAGGAAGTTGAGGGAGGAGGTGACAGAACACCGTGGGACTGGGCTCCTCCTCCGAGAATGACAGCCCACCTCCCCTCCCCCATGGCGGTGAGGGTGGGGCTGCCTGTTAGCATCAGAACCAGGCAGGGGGGCCCAGGGCACAGCCAACCAGCGCCCAGGCCACTCACCGCCGGGAAGGAGAGCTTGTGAGTGATCTCCCGGTAGTCTTCATTCCTCTCCTTCACCTGAGACTGCCCAGCCGTCAGGTGGCTGCAGATGAAGCAGAAGCTGGTGCTGTGGAACTGAAAGCGGATGCCCACGGCGCCCTTGTTCCCCGCCTTTCCCCCCATGCCGGTCTTCACGGTGTCGATGGCCACATCCCTGGAACAAAAGGAGGGCATGCTCTGTCGGCGGCGGCGGCGGTGGGGAAATAGAAACCCATTCTACCGCAGAGAAGAGCCCGTGGCTGCAAGCTTGGAGAGCGATGTGGTCAAGTCCACGGTGGTCCTGCTCACCCTGGAGCACCGCATCTCTGTCAGAAGCACCCGGTCCTCCACCAGTCTTCTGGGAGGCTGCAGACACACCGTTCCCGGGGCTCTCCCAGCAGAGGAAGTAGGGGTTTCACTGATGTGCCTCCCATACCCCTCAGCTCTCATGTGAATGTATACCCTATGATGTGGCCGGGGACAATGTCGAGAGCTAGGAAACGGCCCTTAAGCTGACCTGGGAGTCGGTCTCATAATGCCCTTCTCCCAATTCACTGGGGATGAGCACCTGTGTGTAGGGCCCCAGGACCAGACTGTTAGCTACTTAATGTTTCTCTGAGCAGGCCACAGCTGGAGACTGCTGTGACACCTGAGAGCTGGGAGACAAGCTGGGTGATAATCTGCCCAAAGTTTGAGTCAAACAAGCGTGTGGCCAAAGGGCAGGAAACTGAGGACAAGGTGAGGAGACCTCAGTCAAGGTGAAGAGACCTCAGGCGGGTGAGGAACACCTGAGAGACCTCAGGCGGGTGAGGAACACCTGCCATTCTTCCATCTCACCTCTCCTCAGGACTTATTAACCTTTACCCAGATTTCTCCTAGTCAACTTGGGGCATGGCCAAGCTGCCCTAGTAACACAATGCAGGGGTAGGGCCTTAAATGTGTTTGAAGGTAATAGATTACGAATGCAGAGCCTAAGGGCCACCATAGGGCATCCCAGTGGTCCTCTCTATATGGAGATGCTTGGCCAGGTCTCGGGCCGCTCCTTAGCAATTGTAACCTTAATGCCACCAGCAAGACCATGTGGCAATTAGGAGACAAAGAGAAAGCAAGAAAAAAGGCAGACTCCTCCAGTGTCTTACACACACACACACACACCCTCTTCTAAAAGACACTTATTTCCTAAGTTCCTTACACTTACAAAGCCGTAATCATGAGGCAAAATGAATAGGATTCTAGAGGAGGCGAACTCATCTCATCCGGGTTTCCCGAGCAGTCCACTCAGCACTTGCTCAGAGCGTTCCTGTCCGGGAAATGTGAATGCGACGACGCCCGCTCCTTGCCCTGCCTGAGCTTGCTTGATATCAGTCCCGACTCCTCCCGGGAGACCAGTTTCCTGAGCTAGGATTTTCCCGTGGTGGCTTTACAATTGACAGACAATATCCAATTCAAGCCCATTTTCCCCTCAGGAGTTTTTGCACTGTGTGTTGAGAATAAAGGCAGGTCCTGTTTTCCTGCTGGAGTCGGGGGTGGGGGTGGGGGAGCATCAGGAGGAAGTCACAGAACACAACCACAGACTCACAAGCCCCTGTTCCCCAGACGCTCAGAAACCAGGTGCTCTTACCTGATGAATGGGACGTGGTACGGACGTACAAAGATATAAAGGCAGACGCCCACCAGCTGCGCCGAAGTCAAGAGGATGTACCTATGGGAGCGGGAGATGGCTTTCTGAAGCTGCTCGCCCCACATCTTCCTGTTGGTGGTGCTGAAAAGGCAAGGAAGCCACAGATGCAGCGCGCTGCCGGCAGAGAGCATCCATCTCCCACGGCCAACCCCTCAGCCCTCCACCTGCCTTTCCTCCAGGTTCGATTTCACGCTGCCTGTACCCACAAAATGAGTGCCAGGCATCAATCTTTCCCATGGACGTCTACACATTTTTTGCTTTCTTTATTTTTGTGGTTTTCAGTTATTTTTTTATTTTTGGGGTGGTAGTGAGGCTTGACCCTAGGGCACTGTGCATGCTAGGCCAGGAAACTGCCACTGAGCATCCTCAACCTTCTTTTCACTTTTTGAGGCAGTGACTTCGTTAACTCGCCCGGGTTGGCCTTGAACTTGCCCTGTAGCCCAGGCAGACCTTGATTTTGTAATCCTTCTACCGCAGCCTCCTGAGTAGCTGGGGGGACATCTCTGTGACACCAGGCCCAGCTCTGACAGCATTTTATACATCACGGTGCCCCTCCCCGGCCCCCGACACCCAGGCACAATAAGGACCCTTCTTCTAAGACCTCCCAAAAGCCTGATTTATTTATTTCAAAAGCTCCTCAAGGGTCAGTCAGCACAGTGGGTAAAGGAATTTGCCACCAAACCTGACAGACAACCCACGTTCAAGCTCCAGGACCCACGTGGTGGGAGGAGAGAACCAATTCCCGTAAGTCATCCTCTGGCGGACACATTGCACTGTGATGCGCTGCTGTGTATACAGACACCCACGTAATAAATACGTGTAATCTTAAAAATCAAAGAGTCCCTTGAAACAAGACTGGGTCGCCCATGGGGGTGAATGTCTGGTTGACCTGTCAAGTGCTGGTTCAGTGGTTTGGGGTCTCCCTTTCCTGCCTGGTGTGAAAAGGAGCACTTCTCAGCACCCACAAGGGGACCCTCTCTCCTCACTTTTCCCCGGGCTCTCCCTCCTCCTCCTCCTCCTCCTCCTCTTCTCTCTCTCTCTCTCTCTCTCTCTCTCTCTCTCTCTCTCTCTCTCTCTCTCTCTCATATTCTCTCTCTCCCTCTTCCCGAGACAGCGAGACAGCGTGACTCAACCACACACAGTGCCCAGGCTGGAACCCTTCACAAAAGACACACACCAGTGCCTCCTTCTGCTTAATCAGCAGGGGAAGAGGACCAGAGCACTCCATCAGCCAGTGTGTGCAGGGAATGGAGTCAGGAGGACCCAGACAGCCAGAGCCATGGGCTGCTGGCCCAGAAACAGGCTGGCTCTAGGAGTGCTTGGAGCCCTGATCCTGGCAAGGCATCTATCTGATCCAGGGACACCCTGCTCTCCATGTCTGGCCCTTAACTGGCATTGACAATATTCCCCGTACTCACGGACACCCTGCTCTCCATGTCTGGCCCTTACCTGGCATTGACAATATTCCCCGCGCTCAGCTCCACCATCTCCTCAAAGCCCACGGCAAACACGTCAGCAGGGCTGCTATCACCTGGGGAACAAGGCGAGAGATGAAAGGGGTCAGAAGTACCAGACCTCGTGTTGTTGGTCCACAGGGTTGTTTCCCCCTTCCTGCCCACACCTGCTAAGTGCTGGAACCCCCTGAACCTGGCCACTCACAGGGGGCCAGCCACCGAGCCTGCCCTCACTCCCCTCCTGTACTGACAGCCCACCCCACCTCTGCCCTTCCCTGTATTCAACCTGGAACAGCGTGTGGACCTCTCTGGACCTCTGGCTCTTCCTCTACAAAGGGACTGCCACGTCACCAGGAAATGTAGCATTTAAACGAGATACCACAAGTAAAACACTTGATTCAGCCCGGCCCTTCAAAAGAAGAGCATCTTTTCATCCTTCCTGGTGACATGTCTCTCTAGCCAGATCCTAAGGGACCAGGGAACAACATTATTTCTTATGCATTTTGTGGTCCCCAAGTATTTTTCAGAGTGAGCTGGGGGTGGCTGCTTGAGGTCAAGGGAGACCCTGCCGTCCAGGGGCCTCTGATGGGATGTGCCGCAGATGCCTGGCCGTGGAGCACAGTGAGCCTGGGACCAACACTCGTGTCTACAAAGGAGGCCAGTGCTGCATAGAGACCCTGCAGCCATGTACCGGACCTTCCAGACACTTCTTCAGACACGCATGTCCTCGAGCCATCAAGACCAGGGTTCCAAACGCAGGAAGCGGTATGGCTCTTGCCGGGGAGGAAGGAGCCTATGCAGCAAAAAAATCCAGCTAGCTCTCCGCGTCCTTCTCTACCGGCCACATGGCAGCTGGCGGCACCTTAGCTGAATGGGCTGAAAGCATGAGGCTGCCCCTCTCTCTAAACGAAACACTGGCTTTCCTCTGTCTGAGCCAGTTGGCAACAGTAAGGTCAACGCACCCTCTACCCTGGGCCTGCTGGGCTTTCAGTGAGGTGACTGCCATCTTCCCCAGTAACATCCCGCCAAACAGTCACCCGTGTGCCTTCGCCACCACCCAATGGCACAGGCGGCAGAAGAAGAGGGCCACCATGGCATGAGGGAACCTCTCCCTCAGTGAGAAGTGCTGAATATCCCTGGCAGTACTGGGCTGCCTCCCGTGTCCTTCAAAGGACTTCTGGGTACTTTACCCATGCTAACACAAGCCGCCACTGCCGTGAGAATGCCAGTGACCCTGAACTGTGGACCCTGATACCTCCCTTTTCTGAGGTGAGGGCCACATGCGTATGGGATAAGCGAGGCTGTGTGTGTATTGAACCCGAGTCATTCATCACCCAGGCGTGGGCCTGTTCTTTGGTTTGGAATGCAGAAAGCAGCCAGGCTTCTGAATGAACACCACTACAAGCTACGTAACGCTTACCAAACTGCTTGGGATAGAGGAGTTTCAGAGTCTGGACTCTGGAATATCTGCACACAGGCAATGAGATATCTTAGGGATGACACCCAATTCTACCCAAGGAATTCATCTGTGTCATGTACACCTACACACACACACACACACACACACACACACACACACACACACACAGTAGTTCCACACATTTTCCATTTTCAGTCTGCTGTGCTTGGACTGTGACTCATCATATGAGATCAGGAGTGGAAGACTCTCCCCTGTGACACTGTGTCCCCGCCCCCATGTGACATCATCACAGCACGGCTGAAAAGGTTCAGCTGCTCTAGCATTTAGGATCCCAGAGTTCCAGACTGGAACTGTCCAGGATGGCACAGGCTTGGAGAAAGACAGGACTGTGGCCATGCCCAACATCTCCCACAAGCCTTGCTCTGGCCAGGTCCTGATAGCAGCTCAGTTACAGGCCACACCTACCCATGACAACTATCCTGTCGCTTAACGGCGGACCACAAAACCTCTGCATGTTTAGAGAAAGGCCAACTATTCCCCAGAAACTCCTCCAAGTTCTTGGAAAAGAAAAGGTGTCTTGACGTTAACGTAATACCACCAGTCAGCATTCATGAGACCATGGTGTTTTTTTAACATATTAAAAAATAAAAATGCAAACATCAACTCTAAATTTTACAAGGCAATGCGCGCCGAGTCACGCTGCTGTGACAGGTTGTCGGGAACCCTACTCAGCCTTTCCCAAGTTACCATCCTCACCCTGAGAGTCCACGGCTCCTGAGAGCTGGGGTGCATCCAGAAGCCAGTCCGTGAGCTCGGCTGTCCCCAGGAGATTGCTACGGAATTGCTTTCCTCCATTCACGTTCCAGGTCCCCACAGCAATTTGGACCCGCTTGAAATTGGTGAATTCTGACTGGCGTTCAGTCATGGCCCTCAGGATCCTGGGTGTCACTGTGAGGAAGCATAGAAGGCACATGCTTTCCACAGGCCAGACTGCAGGGACCCTCTCATACTGTACGAGGTGCAGGCTGTCAGAGAAGACCACTCATGAGCCGTGGACAACCATCCTAAATGCTGTCCACAGGGAGATGACAGAGGGCGGGTACCCACCCTAACCACTCCCCTTTCCTGTCTGCAGTAAGTCATGAAAACATGGGGCTGGAAATGCACCTTCCAGCTACAGTTATAGAGGCACATGGCACCCAGTGACAGGAGAGCTGGGGGAAAAGCCTAGCACTGACTACAGAACAAGACACAGGAATGAAATGAAAGGGAGGCCAAACTGAATAACCATGTAACTAATGTGTCACAGGTACAAATAACGGCATGGGATAGACACACATGTATATGGGATGGATAGATAACTTTAAACATCTTATCAATCCAAATCTGCATTTTTTTTACCTTCCCCATCCAGCAAGACTGTTTTGTTTATTTAACCTCAAACTTAAGGCATTAAAAACCAGAACATTGCATCTATATCTCTATCTATTTAGAGATCCAAAATTTACCCACAGTTTTAAAAGCTAGCAACTTTAGGGGCTGGAGAGATGGCTCAGAGGTTTAGAGCATTTGTTTCTCTTACAGAGGACCTGGGTTTGATTCCCAGCACCCGCAGAGTGACTCAAACCATCCATGACTCCAGTTTCAGGAGATCCAGCTCCTCCTTCTGGGTCTAAGATCGTCAGACATGTACATATGTACATGCAAGCAAAACATTCATATACAGAAAACAAAATAAATATATCTAGGAAAAAAAACTCTAAAACCAGTGACATAAATCTCCTGTTTGCCACTAAATGAGCTCACATTGGCACCTGGAGTTCGCTCCAATTTTCCTGAGTTAGAAATTAAACCCAGAGCAGATATTCAACATCACCTTGGAAAGCTAAGTGTTCCCCAATTATGGAACACTGAGAAGTGAAAGGCCTGTATAAAACTATTTTAACATGGGTTCATTTATTTTTCCAAAACATCAAAAGTTTCTAAAACTTAATCATTCTTAAAAGTCAACAGCTGGCTCTGCCCTTCTTTTTTCCATTAGAATATTAAGTCCATGGCCTCTAAGGAATAAGAGGTCATGAAAAGTTCCCTATAGAAATCAGGCCTATTGACACAGAGTTTGTAATCACAGACACTTGGGAGTCTGAGGCAGATCCAAAGTTCAAGGCCAGGGTAGGCAGCTTGGTGAGAACATATCCGAACATAAAGTAACAGAGGCGAAGGGCGTCCAGATCCATGGTCTAGCACTTGTCAAGCATGTGCCAGGCTCTAGGTTTGATCTTAAGCACACTACCACCACAACAAAACAGGGCAGAACTTGCCCCAATGAATCCTGACAGCTTTACGAGATTGGACGCACCACCAACTCCAGGGCTCAACAACATTCTTTATTTCTGAGGGGCCCTGCGGGACTTGAGCATCTGTGGAGTGTATGCCAGGGAAGCTGTGGTGGTTTGAAAGAAAATGGCCCCCCAAAGGGAGTGGCACTATTAGGAGGTGTGGCCTTGGAGTAGGTGTGGTCTTGTTGGAGGAAGTGTGTCACTGTGGAGGTGGGCTTTGAGGTCTCATATATGCTCAAACCATGTCCAGTGAGTCAGTCTACTTCCTGTCGCCTGGATATCAACATGTAGCAGCTCCTTCTCCATCACCATGTCTGCGTACACGCTGCCATGCTCCCTACCAGGATGATAATGGATTAAACCTCAGAAACTGTAAGCTGCCACCTCAATTAAATGTTTTCCTTTATAAGAGTTGTCATGGTCAGAGTCTCTTCACAGCAATAGAAACCCTAACAAAGACAGGACTTTGTGGATACTGAGGGACAATTATACCGGGATGTCAGGCTGCCTAGGTCAACTGATCCCAACAGAACACAGACCAGAAGCTCCATCTTAGATCACGTGACTGGGTGTAGCCTCTCATCCACTGTCACCCTTGCCTCCTCAAACCCTTTAAGGCTGTGGACACCGCATGCACGGGTGGGCACACATTACCCAGAAGGGCTGTGTTGTCCAGCAGCATCCTTCCTTTATCTGTGGACTCTTCGTTGTAGACATCTCCAACCAGCAGTAGCTTAATGGCCTCTTGCTTGACCCCATCAAAGAAGTTGGACTGGATGGTACGAGACATGGACCGGGCCCCATCCTTCAGCTTCCCCACCTGCATGGGCACAAAAAACTTGGTGAGAGGGATCCAAGGGGCGGGCTTCCCTTCCTGCCCCCTCAACCCACCCCTACCTTGTCCTCCCAGCACCCCTGGCCTGCCCCTACCTTGGCCTTTCCTTCCAGGGCCCTGCTCCCTGTGAACACCTTGCTCAGGCCATGCCCGTTCAGAGACCACATGGCTTTGAAGGACTCCACAAAGCGGTCAATGATGGGCTTTGAATTTAGCCCCAGGCTCTCAAGCTGCAGATGAAGGACCTGGGAGAGAAACCAATCACAGTTATCACTGGACACCTAGAAAACCTACTGACGCCTCTGAGTGAGCACCTTATTCATCAGACTGCCGATGAGGAGCACCGGCTGCAGAGAAATAACCACTCCCCACACTCAGACACCCTGACTCCCCCAACCTGGCTTAGACCCTCTTCCCAGCCCCTCTGTGCCTGATGCCAGGTCCACCAACATTGCTGTCAGGAGGCAGGGGGGAGACAAGAGGTGGCTCAGATGGAACTGTGAGAGGTCAGCCAGGCAGCTAGGGCCACAGTGGCACTAACTGGGTATTTCCTCGCCAGGCTTCAGGACCAGTCATCTCAGCCAGTCTCACGCTGCCATGGCTCCGGGGTATATTCAAGACTATCTTTATGCAGAGTATCTACTTTTTAAGGGCACCTGGAGTCTTTGGGTCACAATGTCTGGGACGTATCTCTGTAGGCACATGAACAAGTATGTCTATGACAGGGAAAGGCATATGGTGGTACAAGCAGGAAGCCACCAAAGAAACCGCTCTAAATGTCCCCCCTCCACATCCCTGTCACCTGATCTATCACCGGAAAGTCAACCCAGTAAAGCCATTCCTGCCCCACTGACAGCCCAAGCCGTGACAGAAACGGCCTCAGGAACTCACCTCAAGGGCAATGAAGCACTGTACAGTGTTGGTTCTGTCCAGGCAGTCAAGACAATTCATCCGCAGAGTGCCTTTCTGAAAACTTAGGGCCAGGAGACATGGAAGGATCGTGAGATGCGTTCAGAAGACCAACAGCTACAGCCCATGGCCTAGGTCTGTCTGCTCCCAAGGAAACCTATTCCAAGAGAGCCTCCAGTCTCCTCCCTAGCAGCTTATCAGCAGCCCAGGACACATCCCAAGAGATCCTGAACTGCAGAAATGGTGGGCAGACCCAAGAACACATTCTCATCAGCCCACAAGCCTGAGTCATTGTAAGCACAGTTGGTCCTTGATATCTACAATGATGACATTCTACAGCACTTTATGGATAGTGCTAAGCCCCATGTCTCTGACACTGTATCAGCTGGTCGATGACCTTGCTTGCATGTTTTTGTTCAAAAACACACACTGGTATGCTGTGGGATGTTCTGTACGTCCTGTGGGAGCCCGTTCTTGGGTTCCTTGTGGCTTTATCCAGCAGGTCCGCATAGAGGATGATTAGGACCATGGGCCTGAGTGCAGGTGTCTGAGATGGTCTGCACTTGGCTATGCTGGGGGATGGTCTGTATGTCAAATTACTCTGATTGGTCAATAAATTGGCCGTGGCTAGGCAGGAAGTATAGGCGGGACTAACAGAGAGGAGAAAAGAAAGAACAGGAAGGCAGAAGGAGTCACTGCCTGCAGCAGCTGCCAGGACAAGGAAGATATAAAGTACTGGTGAGCCACGAGCCACGTGGCAGGGTATAGATTTATGGAAATGGACTAATTTAAGCTATAAGCACAGTTAGCAAGAAGCCTGCCATGGCCATACAGTTTGAAAGCAATATAAGTCTCTGTGTTTCCTTGGTTGGGTCTGAGCGGCTGTGGGACTGGCGGGTGACAGAGATTTGTCCTGACTGTGGGCAGGGCAGGAAAACTCTAGCTACAAAGGTAAATAGACACAGGCAGGCAAACCTGGGATGGTGCAACTCAACCTTTTGTTTTTCAATTTTATGTCGATTTGACAGGAAATGGCTTTATCAGGCAGTGATACCACTGTAAGTCGAGTGGCGTGGGCACACTGCTGTTTCACTAACATGATTCCCCACCAACCACACTGCAACTCTGGTCTGAAGGAAGGCACCCAGTGTCTCCTCTGCAGGGAACAGCCTCGCTGTCTCGTGTTTGGGAAGCCAGGCGGCACCTTGGCACTGAGGGCAAACAGGGACATCACCCAAGAGAAGCATAGGAGTGTGGAAATCGCAGCCGTAGGTAAACAGTGGAAAGGTGCTTTTTACAGTAAGAACTGAGACAAGGCGGCAGAGCCTGGCCTCGTCAATCCCCTGGGTGGTCAAGTTTTCACTGTTCTGCATGTGTCTGTGAATGATGGTGAACACGTATGCGGTGAGGAGACTCCTGGGGTGCCAGGGAGTTTTAGTGAGGAAGTGATCTCATAGATCTGAGCTCTCCTGTGGTTTGAGGAAGCTGGACCACTCACAACAGGGTCACTCCCAGCCCAGTGATGTGGCACTCTGGCTTTGTACCAGCTCACTGTATAGGTCCTGTCCCAGTGTGGCCAAGTCACGTCTTCTGAACTCAGGGTTTGTTTTTGTTTGTTTTGCTTGTTTGTTTGTTTGGGTTTGTGGTTGGATGTTTCTGTTTGTGAGACAGAGTCTCAGGTAGCCCAGGATAGCCTAGAACTCACTGTACATGACCTTGAACTTCTAACCCTTCTGTGTCTTGCTTCTCAAGTGCTGGAATGACAGATGCACATCGCCACACTTAGTTCTGCCTGATGCTGGGGACTGAACCCAGGGCTCCGTGCAGGCTAGGCAGCAGGCACTCTACCACCTGAGCTACATGGCCAGCTTTGAGCTCAACGTTGTAATTCAGTCCTTTGTGTTCGGACATGTCTTTTTCCAGAAAATCAGGCATTACCATCATCCCACTAAATTCAAAAAGCTTATCTCCAACTACAGAGGAGGGAAGAGAGATGATCGGACTCCAGAAGCCCAACATCACAGAGCTTCTTCTGATTCAGGAAACCTCAGCGTAGCCAGGCAGCCAGGGACGGAAATGATTTCCGTTGAGGTGCATGACCTAAGCACCCCTCCACCCCCAGCCTCCACAGCCTCCAGACTCCTCCCCCAGCAGGAGTCTGAAGCCCCCACCGAGACTCACCGTGGACTTACATTCTCGCCCTTCGCAAACACGCCCAAGTCATCCCAGTGCAGCTTTAACTGAGGCCTCAACAGGCTCTCCAATTTCTCTAGCTTCCCGCCTTTGGCAAACTGATGGAGGTCAAAATTGATCATAGGTGTGTCGCCGGCGTGGCAAGAGGCCCAGAGCAACTTCTGAAAAGGGAAAGGGGAGGGCGTGAGCACGCCCACAGGAAAGAATGGGAAGCAAAGGCGAGGCGTGCCCGTGGTTTTCCTCCAGCGGCTTGGGCCACCAACCGTCACCCGCTAGAGTGAGTACGTCAGCCGGTAGACTGGCCCTGACCTTGGGAGGAAAACACAAGACAAAAAAGCCTGAGGGGGCTGGAGGGTGCAGAAAACACAAAGAACATCTTGCCTGCGTAAGAGCAGAAGGTCCCCCTTGGGCAAAAGAGCCTGCAGTAGGGGGGTCTCTCTGGGGGACATCCCACTCTTCCTGGGGCTGGGGGGGGGGGTCACAGGTGAGGGAAGGTTAGAGCTGTTCTTCAGGTGGCCCAAGTGCCCAGCCCTCAAGAACAGCGACATGGGGCAGGCCGCGCAGCTCATAATCTAGCTCCTGTTGCCCTGGTAACCAGCCTCATCCAGGCAGGCACCAGCCCTAGGAGGGTGGTGGGCTCAGCACGAGTTGAGTCTGCAGACTGACATGGCCGGCAGGATGTGTAGAGCGGTGAAGCCTAAGATGGAGGAGATGTTGCCCCACCTGACTCGGAGAAAAGGTGGGGGGGACAGAGAGAGGCACCGATCAGGGCTATGGCTGGGTCAGGACCCGCCTCACAGAAGCGAGGCCCCCCTTCTCCACACAGCTTCCCTAGCCCGGCGAACCTTCTCAGCCTGCTCACCAAAGCACCCTGGAGCAGGAGGCAGGCTGCCTGCCTTCCTCAGCCACCTCTGTCTCTGGACCTCACTGTTTGAACCCAACACCTGCCCGGCCAGAGGTGCCGAGAGCTCCGAAGAACTAGGAGGACTCTGGATGGCTCCAGCCAGCCAGAATGCAAGTTAACACATTCTGCTACCTTCCTGTTGGGAAGAGAAGCCTGTGAAACTAAACAAAGAACTTGGTGGCCTTGCCCAGCTGTGGAATGACAACCTCTGGGGCCCAGGCTGCCTGCCAGGCACTGGCTTCTCTCTGGTAAGGGATGCTCGGGCATTAGAACCATGGCCTGCCTCCAAGTCGAGTGTTAGTTCTACCTGCTCAGAAAGCATCCTTAACTCCCGGGACATCTCTGTCCTCTGGGTATAAGGGAGGACTTCACTCCAGTGCCAGGGCACGGCCGCTGGCTGGGGGAGGGGCCGGGCGTGTCCTTGCTGTAGTTCAAGCATGAAAGATCTGGAGTTCTTTTGTTGTTGTTGGAGAGAGATTTTGAGACTGGTTTTCTCTCTCGCCCCTTTCCCCTCACCTGCCTTAAAATAAGCAGCCGGCCTCGCTGCCAGGAGAAGTGGGAGGAGATATTTCTTGTGCTTGTTGCTCATAGCAACAAGCTAAACAGGAAAAGCAAGTCTAGCCAAGGAGAACCAGCAACCAGCGAGCTCCTGTTCCCCACATGTAGCTTTTCCAAACAGAAAGACATGAGCGCTGCAGTTGGATTTGGCTTCCTCCAGCCAGGGGTTAGGGGTCAGAGGTCAGGGTGGCAGTGGAAGGCACCAAGTTCACGTCTCTACCAAGGTGACCTTAGGGTGTCTCCGCAAGGGACTTCTTTGAACTTCAAACAACCAGAGAGCCTTTTCCCACAAAGCAGAGCCTGTGGAGCCTTGGCAGGATGGTGGAGACTGCCTCAGTTCACTAACCGTCAACAAAAGACCGCCAGCTCACGCGTGCTGGGGCTGAGAGACCTGAGTGGAGTTACCTGCTCCACCCGCTCCCTCACCCTGTCGAGATCCACTCTGCTCTGAACTGAGCGCCCAGGAATTGAAAGAGGTCTACCAGGAGCTGGCACACGGCCACCCCTGGCAACCCAAACATGACCACGAAACTTGAAGGCCATCCAAACAGAAGGAAGCCACGCGGGGGCTGCTTTGAACCAAGAGACTCAGAGCAGCAACTTGGCACAAATGCCATGTGTGGCTGGCAGGTGGGGCCTCCAAGGTGTGAGGCCAGCGCCAGGCTTCCTTTCTGTTCCGGCCTGGAGGGCAGCTTCTCAAGGGAGCATGGAGTGGGGGGCCCTTTCCGTCCACATGGGGCTCGGGAAAACAGTTCTGTTTAGAGACTGAACAAACTCTCCCATCCCTCAGCTCATGGAAAGCAAATTTAAAGGATTAAGAGCCCAAGCCATCAAGTGCTGGGCTCTAAAAACCTAAGCAGGGTGCTTGCCTTTCTCAGTAGTCACATGAACAGGGCTGCCTGAGTCTCAAGGCCCTGCCACGTGAGTGGCCCCCCTTTGCCCCCTCCCCACCCATCCCTGGCCCTGGAGGAGGGTGAGCGTTACCTTGAAGGCCCTGTTGAGCACCTCCTCACCACCTCGGCTTCCCAGCAGGTTCACGACCACCTGCTTCCCATATTGCTCCTTCAGAAGCACCATGTGCCTGCAACGGTATCGGGGTTGGCGGTGACTCCGTGGCACCCAGGCCAGGCAGCCTGCACCTCTGTCTCAGCATGGGAGCTCCAGGACCAGCCACGTCCCTTAATCCCAAGTGTACAGCGGAGAAAACCCCTTCCTCCTGGCTCCCATCACTGCTCACCTAAAACTCACGGGGTGGTAAGTCAGCCCAGGCTGTTCGAATGGAAGTCTCTGGGCAGGAATCATGTCTAGTGTGTGTGACTTTTAGATGACGCTGCATTGGCCTTTCTATCAGGTGCCCCCTAGAAGGCCCCCGTCTTTTGTGAACAGCCATTAGGGTTCAACACACTCATCTCCAAAGTTAACCCAGAGCTGCCTCTTTCTCTTGGGTGCTCCTCCTTTTCCCAATTAGAAACGCTGGAGGATGAACTTGAACTTCTACCTCGGAGGCCAACTGCCTCCCAGGTGCTGGGTTTCACCGTGAAACCCAAATTAGATGGAATCACAAAATGGGCAGTACACATTTCACCTTCAAGTATTACAGAGGCACCAGTTCTTAGTCTTTATCACAAGTTTGCTACAAGTAACTTTATTTTTCCTTGGGTTTAATACAGCCCAGGCTGGTCTCAAATTCACTACATAGCCAAGGATGGCCTTCAGGACCTGATTTCCCAGCCCGTACTTCTCACATCCTGGGATAACAGGCATGAGCTACCTTGTTTAGCGGAAGGACCTTCATAATTTTAATCTTAGAAATGGTTCAATGTTGTGCTTTTAAAAATAGGAAAATACAGTGCAAAAATCAGACATAGCAATAGAACTTAATAGCGTAATTTTTCTATGTAAGTTTTTTATGTAAATGTAGAAAATTTTTACATGTAAATATAGAAAAGAATGTTAAGTTATACACTGTGATACTAAAAGTGGGTGGAATGTTAAATTTGTTTTTCTTCTTTCAACGTTCTTCTCTCTTCCAAGTTCCTACAATTTATTTTCTGACCTTTATTTTATAAATATAATTATTTTTAAGTTCGTAAAGAACTATTTTTAGCCTGAGAATAAAAAAAAAATATTCTCCTGCTTGGTGTTGAGTGATATCACGTGATATAGAAAGATTTAGAAATGGGTAGCTTTATCTAAGCTTATCTGCTGACTAGTCGACCCCAGTGAAGGGTAAAGCTCTTTCCAAGGCTGCTAGTTCCACTACAGTGAGAGTCTTGGCAGCCCAAGAAGGGACAAGAAGGGATGGGCACGGAGGGTCTGCTCTTAGGGGTTTCCCAGCGAAGGTGTGTCTCTGCCTGAGATCAGGACATGTATGTCCTGTCTCCACTGAGGAAACCTGGGTTGCCGACTGGGCCTGTCACAGGGTGTCAATGTCCCACGCTAGCCACACATCCAAGCCACATCCTGCCACATGGATTCTCAGAAATAAGGCCCATGTGGTTTTCCCTAAGCAGGGTATAAAACAATATGCTATGGTCCAATTGTCTTTTTTCTTTTAAAATGAAATGTATATGCTAAAGCTTTTTATCTAGGATACATAAATAACTGATAATGGGTAAAGTCTGAGAGGAACTAGGGAGTTTGCATATTCTTTTACCTTACACCTTTCTATACTTTAAAAAAACTTAATATGTTACTTTTAGCTAGAAATAGTGCTGATATAATTCAGATTATCCCTTATTAACCAGGGGTAATTGGTGAATCTTCATTCTAAGAAGAAACTGACAAAACAAAATAATTACCAAGTGCTACCTACACACTGATGAGTTGATTCTCAAGGAGATTTGAGAGCAAGCAAAAAATCCCATTTTGTGACCTCCTGTCTCGGGTAAAGGGACCAAAGCCAGGGGCAGATTTGATCCGGGCCTGGGGCTCCCCTTCCCACTGTCCTGCCCCTCGCCCGGCCATCTGGATGGAGGATGCAAGGTCTTGGACAGTCCCCGGTGGTCCTTACCTTTCAAAAGCAGGGGCGTTGGCCTCTAGGCCTCTGTGTAGTCTCAGATGATGGGAGCCGACCTACAGAAAAGATAGAACAACAGGATGACGACAGTGATGTCCACCGAGCCCAGATGATGCCTTCCTCACTCCAGAGCCAGGCTGCATGTGGCACCTGCCTGGCCATCTCTGTGGCTCAGCCCCTGCTGAGACAGGTCCGGCACCCCACCCTTGACTGTGCTAACCACACTCGCAACCTTGCAAGGATTGGTATCCCCAGGTCTACTCTGCAGTGGCGGCGGGGGTTCTTAATAATAGCGTGGACCATGCCAGCAAAATTCTCCCATTTCTAGTCGTCTTAACAGAAGCCATTGTGACAAGCTCCAGTACTGGACAGGTCTGCCTTTCTCCCTGCGTCCCAGCTGGAAGTCCCTTCTGTGCCATAAGTAGCACCTGAGGGCACAGCAGAATGCACTACAGTGTCCAGGCCCAGGCTCTAGTAGAGCTCTCTGTCTAAACATTACCTAGGCCATACGTTGCTTAGTTACCGAGTGCTGAGTCAATATGTCACTGAGTACCCAGTTAGGGACAAAGTGAGGGAACGGAGTCCCCAACCTAGGTGATTCTCATCTAGCTATGGTCGCCACAGAAAGATTCCAACAGTTCTGCACCACTTGGATTAATACAGTGGAGACTGGCCCGGGACCAGCGGCTCCAGTGTGGCATGAGGATCTTCCCTATCTGTGCGCCCTCTACCGCCTCAGGGGAAGATAGGCCACAGGGAGAAAGCCAGGGCAGCGGCAACAGCCAACAGCAGCAGAAGGCCCAGCCCAGAGTGGAACAGGCATTATGATCATATCACCGTGGCTAATCTAACGTCAGCGCTAACCATGAACCCGTTCTTGGGAACATGAGGGAATCCAGGGCTCCACCCTCACAGGAATAACCAGGGTAGGAGATGGGTGGAAAGGACCAGAGTCTCAGCCAGGAGGTTTCAAAGCGTGGTCCCGGAGTCCCCTGGAGACACGCTAGAAATGCTAAGTTGCAGGTCCAGCTCAGATCTGCTGAGCCGTATTGCTGAGGGTGGAGTCGGGAATGTGTGTCTCACAAGCCTCCAGCTGATTCCTGATGCATGCCCATTGTGGTTTGGCAGCGCGGGCTTTGACTCATTTCCTGTCTCTCCCTAACCCCTTTTGCTCTGGTCACAAAAGTATGGGAGGGCCCGTCAAGGAAAGAGCAGCTTGGGGCTGGACCCAAGTTCAGTGCAAAGCTGCAGGGAACTCTGGGACTTCCGGGCATCATGGCTTCAGGTTGAAGCCCTCCATTTTCTAAAGCGGCAAGGGCTTTGGGTAGGAATGGGCTCCTCAGACCCTGCATCCTGTCTCTGCCGTCTCCTGCTCGGCTGTTCTTTCCTCCACCTCTGGCCCATTCTAACGCTGTACCACATCGTCTTTTTCTGGCATCACCTATTCCTGGTGCAAGTGTGCCGGCAGGCTTGGGAAGGAGCTGCAATCGGCAGAATAGAACCTCCATTGGTCCCGTGTTGCTTTTTTTAATGTCCCCCTCTCCCCTCCACCGTAGCCTCTCCCCCTTCTGGCTAAAGGACCGATGAGCCTCGCCTGAGCCCTACAGCTATTCATTTCACCCCACAGCTTTCACAACTGAGTTATAGCCCAAGTCCCAAGAACGCCTTCTGGGGTCACAGCGGAGGCTGAGCTCGCACTCAGGAGCCCTGGTAGTCAGGAGCATCATCTCCAGGCTCTGCAGTGCCCACTGCTTCCGCCCAGAGACTGGCAGCATGCTCACATCAGCAGCTCCCCTTGGGGTCTTCCTCAGGAACACTTCTGGGGGTTCTGTCTAATCGTGCTTCACCCCGAAGCTTGCTACAACCATGGCCGAGCATGTGGAGACTGCCCTACGAGCTTACCAGCCAACCATGGCACAGCTCTGCCCGGCTCGCCGTGCTGAGGCCACGTGCTACCGGGAGCAGACAAACAGAGCAAATCAGCTCCCTTCACCACCAGACCCTCAGAAATGGCTCACACTGGGGACCCCAAACACTAAGCCAGTGCTATTCCCTAGATACGAACCTCAGGGGCTACAACGATGCACCTGCCGTTCCTCGGCCAGGGTTGCCTTGCTTGCCTGAGTGGTTCTAACCCCCAAGTCAATCCAGATGAAAATACTGAAGGAACCTTTCTAGACCTCTGAGTGGTCCCTTTTCCACCCTCCTGGGTCATCTGTTCCTCCGGGAGCTGCTGCTCAGACCTCAGCCTTCCTCTGTCACAGCCCTGTTCATGTAACACAGGTCACGTGTCTGTCCCTTGCTCCTTGAAGGCAAGGGTTGCATCTGATTCCAGATGTCCGCTGTACACAGAAAATGCTCCATCAGTGAGCCTAGGACTTCTGACTTCCTATCAACGTGAGGCACAGCAGAGTGACAGCCAAAGACATGTTCTTTATGGTACACGGATACATGGGAGTCCTTCTGAAGGGGGAGAACTCTTACCAGCTGAAGTACACAGAGTCTCACTTCTCGAACATGGCTTGTGTTAGTCTCCATTTACTCCATTATTATTAACCACAGCTATCATTCTGAGAAATGGGGGGGGGTCTCTAAACACTATCCTAGTGTGTGTTGTGATTTTTAATCCTCTCTATAACCCCTTGAGGGCAGGTATTCTTAATCCCACTTTATAGAACAGTAAACCATGGCTTAGCAAAGATACAAATGTCTTCAAAACACACGGTTGTTACCAAGAGGGATACCCATGTCCCTCCAGCTTCACAGCTTACCCCCTGAATTCCTGGGACTGATGGCCTTGCAACCTTGGTTGTTCCAGGGATTGGGACAAATGAAAGCTGTCTTCTGTTGGGCTCGCCAACCCCACGGCACCCATTACATCCTTGGCTTTCGTTCATTTCAACCTGGAGGACTTTTCCTTCCTCCCTTCACCCCAGGACCTTCTGTGCCGTACCTAAGCCATCTCATTTCCCTATAGTGGGATGGAGCAAGCATACAAAGAGGCACTAGTACCACCACATTCCCAGGAACATGGGAAGCAGCATTTGAGAGAGAAGAGATGGTGCGGATGATGCTGTGGGATGGTCTGTAATGTGTTGCTCTGATTGGTCAATAAATAAAACACTGACTGGCCAGTAGCCAGGCAGGAAGTATAGGCGGGACTAACAGAGAGGGAGAATTGAGAAAACAGGAAGGCGGAGGGAGTCACTGCCAGCCGCCACCATGACCAGCAGCATGTGAAGATGCTGGTAAGCCATGAGCCATGTGGCAAGGTATAGATTTGTGGAAATGGGTTAATTTAAGATATAAGAACAGTTAGCAAGAAGCCCGCCACGGCCATACAGTTTGTAAATAGTATAAGCGTCTGTGTGTTTATTTTATAAGTGGACTATTGGACTGCCGGGGCTTGGTGGGACCCGGAGAGAAAACTCCAGCTACAGGATGAGATGCCCTAATCTCCTTGGTATCTTTCCTCCACTCGGTTCCATCCCGTGAACTTCAAAGCCAAGACCAGAATCACGTGTGGCAGGCACGTGTCTGCACCAGTCACGGGGATAAAGATCCTGCCACTGCAAAAGGAGTAATCTCTCCCACACAGATGAAATGAAGAATACATCCCATCACAAGCTCTCCCAGAAGAGCTTGAGTTTTAAGGGTCAAATTCTTACTGGGGTAATTATAAGCGGCACAGCTATCTGCATGGGACAGATAAAATTATTAAATGTGCATGGTGCCATGTAGACTAGAGATGTAGGAGTCTGTACTGAGGGTATCATGCCCATGACTCCCTGCAGCTGAAGCATCATTCCCCAGCCTCCCCTGTCTTCCTCAACTCCTCCTCATCCCTTGCAGGGTTCATATTCCCCAGACAGCCCCCAAGAAATCACCACTTTGCAATTTAGAACACACACCATTCCCCTGCACATCTGTGCATTTTCATCCTACCTAGGCAAGAAGAAAGGGCAAAATTGGAAATGGAAAAGGACAGGGAAACTAATCAGGATATACTGTATGGGAACTGAAACTATTTTCAATAAAAGTGAGGGGGAAAAGCAGCAGCAGAAAGACAACCAGGACTAATCTTAGCCCGATAGTTGCTCCTGGGTGTCTTCTACCATGTACAGCTGCCCCCACCTCTCTGAAGATGACACAATCTCTCTTTGATAATAGATGGTATTTAGAGTATAAATACAGGTATTAGGCCCCAAAGTTTGCAAATCCCAGATAAGACTTATGAACACTAGCCTTTTAAACCTGAGTTTGGAGACACTGCTGAAGCTTTGCCACAGGACACGTGTGAGGGATCTAAAAGGGTAATGCAGCTGCCTCGACCTTGCTCCGAGTCCACCTGGGGCACAGTCATACCGTGACTACACGGGCTGTGTCTATAGCGCTGGAGACCAAAGTTACTTTACACAGGGAGATGGCCAATGCTACCTTGTGTTTTAGATGAAGGAGACCAGAACACTTGGAGGCCTTGCCATCAGACAAAACATCTTCAAAGGAGCAGGAAGATGCCGGGGATGACCAAAAGGAGGAGACAGAACCCTGAAGCGTCCCACCCAAGAGCTACAAGAGAACCTTGGGAGGAAAATGAGATTTGCTCCTCAGCATCCTGAATGTCCTGGGAAGACAGGCAGGCAGACAATGGAAGATTTTCTAATCATCAGGACCCCCAGTAGGACCTGGAGCATAACCTCTCTCTCAGAGGTCCAGGAGAAGGGATCCCCCATAGAGCTGGGAGGGTAAGACAAATTTCAGAGTCCTTTCAATGTCCTAAGGCTGTCACGATCAATTTTGGGGTTTCTGGTAAGTTTTGCATGAGTATAACGTAGCCTCCTGGATTCCTCTGTATACTGTGTTCACATGACCCGTGTGTCTCTTCACACAGAACTCAAAGGAAACCCACATCTAGAGAAAAACAAGTTTCAAGCACCTTCAAACATCCTGGGCTATAAAAGGAGCTGTCCCAGGGAATGTAAGCTCTACCAGAGACAGACAGGGGTGGGACTGCAGATAGGCAGGGGCATTATGCTTCAGCCCTGACTCCTAGATCCGAGTCTATAGAGACAGGAGGTAGGCTGGGAGTTTCCATGGCCTGAGCTGGAGCGGAGGAGAGGGTGCCATGGGTGCCCCAGCAATGGTGAGACACTTCCAAGTCTGAGGCGGGGGTGTGGCTCAATGGTAGAGCTCCTGCCCAGCCTGCAGGAGGCCCCGGGTTTGATTAGCACTAGAGAAGAACAGATGAAACACAAGGGCTATTCTAATCTTAGATTACAGAGCGTGCTGTTCACTCTGTAAATGCCAAGATGCTCTGAGCTGTATGCTTTCTGGTAGAAAAGTTCTATGCCAATACAACTGTTTAAAACCCAAAACAAGACCTCTGGGAGCTGGGCGGGCAGGGCGGCACAGGTCCGTGATTCTGGCACCTGTTAGGCAGAGGCAGAAAGAACGCCACAAGTTCAAGGCTAGCCTAGGCTCCATGGCGAGACAGAAATAGCAGTCACAGCAACAAAAGATCTCTGGAAGGCCCCCAGGGGAATTTCCCCCTGTTACAAGCAAACTCAGCTCAGACCCTTTTCTACCACTCAATGCCACTGGGCATCCGCATACACCTAGAAAACTGAAATGTCAACAAATCCTTAACCCCACCGCAGATCTCAGAACCTGAATGAGACGCTCCATCTATCCATCTTACTCTAAGAGCTGACAGGGATGTGGCCAGGACGGCCAGGACTGTCAGCATGGCATAATGTGCTGGCAGCCCTGGGGACCAGTCCAGGCAGGGCTAAGAAGCTGAGCCCAAGACCGGGCACTGTGAGTCCTGCTGTGTCAATGATTCCTGAGAAGCTGGCACATGGTGCTCTTGGCCTCTTGGGCTGCTGGCTGACCATCCAATGCTCCTACCACCAGAGCCCTGGGTAAGAGAAGCCACAGACTATAGACCCAAGGGAGAAGCTTTCTCGGGCACTTTGGTCCCGCAAGGCAAAACCGAACCGAGCAAAGAGGAGGAGGAAACTCCAGTCCACTCTCCCCAGATGCACCTTGTCAGAACCCACTTGAGGGAACAGCATGCCTTTTAGTGACAACAGCTGTGTCCTTGGACCACGTCCCCAGTCCCTGAACTCTTCTCAGGACGCAGAAGCCGAATCCCCCTGGCACTGCCCAAAGCTGTATTTTGGATGGCAGGAGGTATTTTTAGAAATCACGGGAAAGCTTTGCAATCCTCACGTGGCTCCACACAAGTACCACAGAGTGCCAGACCCACGATGTAGCCACCAAAGGCCCAGCAGACCCTCCTGAGCCCTCCAGGGAATTCCCAGCTGCCAAAAAATGTTATCAAAAAGCTCAATTTAGGGTCCTATTTAAGCCAATCCCACCCAAGCACTATGAGTCAGTCACCTCCTCAACAGATCACTCACTGCACAAAGTAAACAGCTAATGTATACACACAATTACATCCAGTGTGCGTCTTAAACACTCTCTCTTTCTCTCTCTCTCTCTCTCTCTCCCCCCCCCCCGCCCCCAAAGCTTAGGCTCAACAGAATTGGGCCAAGGTACGAGACCATAAACACCACCATGAAAGAAACGTTTAAAGAAACAAACTCCAGCTACGGAAAGAGACCCGAGGTACACAGACACAGTGGTGGAAAAGCCTTCTGTGTGAATGACCTACCTGAAGCCCTGGCTGCTCCCAGAACAGCGGAACAGAGCCTCGGATCTGCACAAAGGACGACACTCCATCATCCATGTAAATCGTCTGCAGCACAAGGGAACAAAAAGAGGAAGGGACGGTCAATGAAACCGAACGTCCTGGGTTGTAACGGGATCCGGTGCCTGCGACCCGACACCAGCCTGGAGGGTAGCCGGTGGACTTCGGTGCCCTCTGCTCTCTCACCTAGCAGGGCTGGTGCTGCTCTGTCATCAGCCACCAGACGGTAAGGCATGGGGCTATTGTCTGGCCTCTGAGGAGGGGTCTGCACTCAGACCTGACGCGTGCAGGAATCCTCACCCCTCCAGGGCACCACCTTACCCACTTCTCTGAAAAGCCTAGCGCCCATTTCCTACTTGAGAACAAGCAGCAGCTGGGCTGCGGTTTTAGCTAAGACTCTGCAGAGGTCTCTGTTTTTACCTGCCCAGTAACTAGGGAGCTATTGACCAAGGACTGAACCAAATACATCAGCTCTACTGAGTCTTGCTGACTGCACCTGCCACGGCTGAACTTCACGGCACAGGCCAAGGCTCAACTTGAACTTGTCTGCAGTCCCGGGGCCTGTGCTACCAACTAACACACACACACAACAGTTTTTACAATACACAGACCCCTCGTAGAAATAAACGCCGCTTAAATTAATGATAACAAGAGCCCCCGCCGACCAGTTTTGTAGTAGCGTACCTGCCTGCCTCCAACAATAGAGGAGAGAAGGAGGGTTTAAAGGACACAAAAACACAGTCCTGAGCAGGCCCTGGGATGGCTGCAGCAGTTATCAGATGGCGGCCTTTATCTGTGCAACCCTACCCTGGCCTGGCAGGGCCACCACGGGCGCCGCTGCGCGTCTTTTCCATTGCTCACTGGCCTGCTCTCTTACAGGGTAGCTTTCCACACGGGCTACATCATGCTCAGATCACACATGCATTAGTAATTCTTCAGGGGGCGGGGGCTGGGCAGTGAGACCTGAGGTTCTCTGGACCACAGGAATGCCACGCGCCTGGTATCTATGCTGTACACTGTAATTCTAGTCTTAGTCTCCAGGGGAAAATCCACTAGGTTGGGAACACGCTGTTTCTAGGCATTGGCTACCAGCCAATGGGCTACCAGCCAATGGGCTACCTCCATCACTCTATTCGCTGCGCCACTGGAAGGCCTGCACTTCTAGATCAGGGACACAAGACTGACTGGGTCCCCGACAAGTTAGCTAACATTCTGACATGAGGGCAACCATTTACAATGCCAGAATCTGACCTACGCTAAGGACTCTCTCTACACGTTCCTCTATCATCTAGGACTTTATACACTACATTCTGCCTCAGCCTGGTTCCCTCTGAGCTCAGGGCTGGAGGCAGTGTCTGGGGCCCCTTCTCCATGGGGAAGAGTTCTTTCTCCCCATAAAAACCATCTATATCTGAGTCCCCTACCCCATCACCAGTGTATAACCCAGCAACCAGCACAATGGTGTTCCACGGGGCTTCTATGCTGGGTGAGAAAGAACAGCCTCAACACGCCAGGGCTGCCCGCTTTCACAGGGCCCCTGGAGAGGAAGCTGCGATGGGGAAAGATGCACGTGAGAACAGGGCACCGTGAGAGGCCCTCGTGCCCAGCAGTGCGGCCTGGGAACTTTATTGGAACGCTTTTATCCTGCTTCCCTCTCTAGATGGATTAAATGTCACCTGGTACCCAGAGAGTAAATCTAGGTACATTCTCCCTGCCTGCGGTGGTCACTTGGAAAACGTCGCTGCTCCGTGTGGATGGGGCCACTCAGAGTCAGGAGGCCTGGGCAGGAATGGGCCTTGGGGCAGGTAGGGCTAGGCTGCAGGAAATGGGCAGGGGCGGGGGTGGAGAACAGATAAGACAGGGAGGGAGACTAGGAGAGCCAGAGCCCTGGAAGGCGACCAGGGACCTCAGTGCCGATGCCATGGGAGGAGGCCTGGTACTGTGCAGCCTGGAGGGCCACCCCAAGCTGCTGCTTCCATGGAGGGCTGAGAACGGAAACAGGGTTTCTCGTGAAAGCCTCTTCCAGGATTCTACTTCCGGATGCAGTGTTTGCAAACCCATGCCTCCCCACTGGCACCCGCAGGAGGGCACGCATAGTCACCCCAACCTCCCTTGGTTAGGTGGTGGCCTGACAAGAGCCAAATATTTATCATGCACCCTTTCGCTGACAGGTTGAGGGGCTGTGAGGTTTGTCTTTCTGCAAAGTTGAGTCACGGCTGCAGATGGAGCCAACTGGGTATGACGCACAGCTGAGCTGAAAAAAAAAAAAAAAATTCCAGGCTTCCTCCCAAGAAGCCAGAGAAGGCATCTATCTACCACATGGACACATGGCTATACACGCCATACAGATGTACATATAGTGTACACACATACACAAGTATACAAGTATACAACATACACAACACACACAACGCGTATACAATAATGTACAAACATCACACAAGCACACACTGGATGGGATATAAACATACAACATATATAACATAGGATAGGACTTAAACATACAACATATATAACATATGCATGCATACGCCATAAAGATGCATGAATACAAAACGTATGTACAGGCATGTGCATGCATACACAAACATGTACACACGTACACACACAAACTGTTTACAAGAAATCTATTTATTCCTCAGGAACATGTTAAAGCAAGGCAAAAAGTAGAAATTCTACAAGCAGGGCTCACTCTCCTGCTCTGTGTGATTTTGTGTGTGTGTGTGTGTGTGTGTGTACTCAAAGGCATACATGAAGATGTCAGGGGACAACTTGCAAGAGTCATTTCTCTCCTTGTACCACAGTGGTTCTCAACCTTCCTCTTGCTGCGACCTCTTAATACAGTTCTTCGTGTTGTGGTGACCTAAAATGTAAAACTATTTTCATTGCTAGTTCATTTCTGTAATTCTGCCACTATTATGAGCTGTAATGTAAATATCTGTGTTTTCTGATGGCCTTAGGTGATGCCTGTGAAAAGGGTGTTTGATCTTCCCCCACCGAAGGGGTCATGACCCACAGGTTGAGAACCTCTGCTCTACCATATGGGTCCTGGGGCTTGAACTCAGGTTGTCAGGCTTGATGGCAAGTATCTTGACCTACTGAGCTATCTATCTGGCTTGCAACTGTTCTCTGTGTGGTTCCCCTATTTGGCAAATGATGCCTGTGTAAGGCATCCGAGTGACTACTTCAGGACTTCCCCGAAGACCGTATTCGGCTCTGCCCTATTGGGGTTCAGGCCAGCAGTAACACAGGGCACCAGCACCAGATTTGCATTATTGCACTGAGCTCCCTCTCCTGCTGGGACATGACACCGATGCTGTCGATTGCTGCTTATACTGTGGGTGAGTGACCAGATCCACAGTCTGCCATTTCTTTACCGCCAGGTGGAAGAGACGAAAGACGCACCTCCTAGCTGGAGATGGACCCACTCTGACTCTGAACTATTTTCAAGGCCTCAGAGCCCAGTGTATGATCTGCCAGTTCACCGTGAGTAATACTGCAGGGTTCAGACTTGAGGGCCCATCTTGTGCTGCACCATCTAACCCAGGCTCCCAGGGAACCACCACAGTCCTCAGGGGGTAAACCTCTCCCAGGCCACAGTGCAGTGTCCGCTGCTCATTCACAGTTTACCTGTTACTTCTCCCGGGCTCGGCAGATGCTGCAGGCCACAGCTGGGCTACCCCAACCTGGCTCCAGTCTCCTGTGGTCATCAGAAGCACCTTCATTAGCAGATGACCAAGTCAAGCCTTTGCTAGGGAAGCACCTCCATTTTATTTCTGTTGTGCACACACACACACACACACACACACACACACACACACAC